CGGCACACGTCGCAGATCACGTCCTCGTCGTACTCGATGCCCAGCCCCTCCTCCGTCTCGATGGCGTGGTTCATGTTGTCATGACACTGCCGCTCCAGGGCCTCCATCACGCGCTCCATGGTCAGCTCGTCCACTAGGGCCTCCCCTGGGAGAGAGACACACACACACACACACACACACACACGGGTCACGCGACAGGCACTGGCGCTGGCGCTGGCCTTGCCACTCACAGACAGCAGCCTACACGTCTCTGCTGGTGTTCCACACCCTCAAATTACATAATTTCTAAAAAAGCCATTTATGGCTGGATTGGAAGTACCCACTCTGTGGGAAATATGGCCAACTTTATGATCTCCTGAAAAAAATCCTCCAATGGAGTCCTAACTTTTCTCTGACCATATTTGTCTATGGAAGAATGTAGAACATATTTATCACCATCTAGTGTCATCCCCTGTTGTCTATACTTAGTGTAACACATATTTTTCTGTGGTAATAAGTTGAACGTAAAACACAATGAATTGCAGAGTTCACTCCCACAGTTAGGAGACAGCATGTTCTTTCTTTACAGAGATCTTTGGTTTACCCATTTCCCATAGCTGTTAGAGAGTGTGTTCTTTCCTTACAGAGATCACTGGTCTACCAACCTCCCATAGCTGGGAGACGGTGTGTTCCTTCCTCACAGAGTTCTCTGGCTTACCCATCTCTCCCAGCTCAGCGTTGAGCTCCTGCAGCCAGTGCAGGTCCATGTCGTCCAGGTCGTAGCGGCACATGGCCTCGGCTAGCTCCAGGATGTTGACGTAGCCGGGCTCCATGGGCTCCTGGGCCCAGCACTGGATATACTTCCTCTGCCGGGTGAAGAGGTTCTCCTTGGGCTTCTCCGCAATGACCCTGTGCACATCCAGACGCTTCATATGATAAAGTTGCAACACGCGCACGCAAGACCGCACACGCAGAGAGCTCTGCACCCAAACGCTCATACACAGAAAGACAGTTATTCCCCACGGTAAAGCCTAGACAGAGACTGTCCAACCCTATAACAAGCTCACGGTCATGTGGTTAGTGACGCATCCAAGGAGTAAACCTCAAGAAGCACATGTGAGCTGGTGCTAAAGATAGCCACACCCCACCTTCTGTGCACATCTGGGCTCTCTGCTGCCTAGTTTACTGGCAGGCTGATTGTGTCATAGGCAGTGCTGCGTTTGTTTTACAGTTCTTGCTTTGTTTTGCAGTCATAAAATCGGATGTTACATTCCATTCCTCCCCTGACCCTTCATCACCAGCAGGCTGTCTCACTGTGACACCCTCTGCATTCACACAGGGTTGCAGCAAATGCAACCCTCCAACACACTCATGTGCCAGCAACCACTACTTTTCCCCATACTACAAACCCCATAATGCAACAGGAGCACAAACAGAGGATGGAGTTTATTGGTAGGCTAAATTTACTCATGTTGCTGTTCTGAAGGCATGAGGCAGGGCACTCACCTGAGAGACGGCTTGGGGATGGTGTCCGGGCTGGCGGGCACCTGCACGCCCTTCTCCCACTCCTGCCTCCAGGTGTCGGCCAGGAGGTAGTAATCCTCTGGGGACACATGGTGGGAGTCCGGCAGCTTCATGGCACTGATCAGGTCTTTTCGGAACACCTGTTTGGGGGATGGGGATCAGAGGCTGCTGTCATCCTGAGCCTCATAATTTATTCTTAAACTTCCTCTTGCACCTACTATGGCACTTAACCGACATGTTATGTAGTGGTTCCTACTACTGGACTGTGACACTTATGTGTTACTGTAGTCTCTGCATTTAGCCCAACCTTCTTGTATGTACTTTTCTAAGTGACTCTGGATATGAGCGTCTGGTGAATGACTAATGTGCTGCAACGTAGTGAGCTTCTCCTGTGTGGGAGGACTGAGAATGGTTTTGATGTAGACAGACAAGAATTCCAACACCCTCTGACTGACCATCACTTTTCGTGGGGCATATGTTCTAGAGATCCCCAGTAATGGGCAACCACCTGAACACTACACTGTATGCACAACAGATGCTAACATAGAGGGAGGTGCGCTCCTGACACACACCAAGCCTATACACTTAACGTAATGGATGAATGCAAAGAAACGAGTGATTAATATGTACACGTGTAACAGTGCTATAGCATGCAGGGGGCACTGCCCGGCGCAGCTGCAAAACTGAAAGCACAAATGGCCACAGCCTCCAGCATTAATGCCATTTTCCCATCAGCATAGAAACTCCTGCTGCTTGCTGCCAAGCCCCAGGGGTCTTCCTACCTCTGCAGGTTTCTTTGGCATGGTGGTGGGGGTTTCAGATTGGCCACCATACTTGTTGGAGGAGCAGAAGGAGGTTGAGGGACCTGATATGAACAGAGGAGAGACAGGTAGAGTAGTTAGACCAACTTCGGTGGTCACAACAAACTCATAACACAAACTTCTGCATAGAAGAATTTCTTGCTTGCATGGCAAAGGACACTGGGTCTGGGCAAGTGATGGCATGCTAGTGCTCGATGATGTGCACTGACAGCGAGCGTCATTGTCACTTTTTTTAAAGCTACATGGCACACATTTTTCATCAAGAGTGTTTCAGAAGTAGTAGTGCTTTATTCACCCTTGAATGGCACGCAAGGTTCTGCTGACCTGCTGCAGTCCGGCTGCAGTCTAGACAGTCTAGGCTGACACATACCACCATATTATGTGAGTTAACTTGGTTCAGTTTATCCCAGTAAATCACCCATAGCTGTTGTGATTGCCTAGAAGGGGCTGCCCCCATCGGCTTGAACAAGGGACACACAACAAGGCCCTCATAAGCAATGCGAGCACAGCTAGCATCTGCTAAGGGTACATGTCTTATCTCGTTAGCAGTGGCTGAGGAGGCCTTGGGGCCCAGGCGCGGTGCTCTACTCACTCTCATTGTCTGAACTGTCACTGCTGCTTGTAGACCTGAGGCGTTTCATCCTGAAGTATCCTGCAGAGGGGGAGGAAGAACAGACACCTCAGGAGTGAGGCATGCTGGGAACGAGGCAAGGCATCACACAAAGCACTCAGAGAGCCCTTTTCCCTCTTCCGACTCCACACAGGGAAACTCCGCCGACAGACATCTGGAGTTCATCAGCACACATTATAGGAAACCGCTTGACGGCGAGGGGAAGTCCCAGTCTGAATGGGCCTTCTCTCAGATCAGATTTAAACAGCATAATATTTTTCTCCAGTACTCACCATAAATCCAAAGTTGACGAGCATGCTAGTGTATACGCCTGCTGTGCTAGCTACGTCCTCCACTCATCCCTTTAAAAAAAGAAAGAGAGAGAGAGAGAATAAGACAACAGCCTGAGGTGAAGAAAAGGCAAAGTAAGCATCCAGCTAATCAGCTAGCATTAGCGCAGCGGCAGCCTTCTCTGAAAACTTGCCAGTGATGTATTGAACTCCTATAACTGGCTGGGTAGCTTCATTATGTAAATATTAGCTTTCCCCAATGAGAGTCCCCTTGAGTGAGCCCTGAGAACACAATGTATAAATAAACAAGGCGGCTTTAAGTTAACGCCGTTGCTAACAGTTACACGGCTGGAGCCATATAGTCCTCCAGCGCCACACTGCAGTCGCATAGTGGTGGTATGAATCACGCCTACAGATCCACTTCCCAGCCCATACACTGGCTTCTGCTGTTCCCCACCTTCCTCCTCGTCAGGACTCAAAGACCCAGCAGCCCCCAGGGATGCCACTGCTCACCCAGACAGGATGAACCACACAGACTCACTAGAGATGCCACTGTTCACACGGACAGGAAGTGCCCAGCCACTCCCCTAGAGAAACCACTGTTCACACGGACAGGAAGTACCCAGCAGCCCCATAGAGAAGCCACTGTTCGGACAGACAGGAAGTACCCAGCAACTCCCCTAGAGAAACCACTGTTCACACAGACAGGAAGTGCCCAGCAGCCCCCTTAGAGAAGCCACTGTTCACACAGACAGGAAGTACCCAGCACTGCAGTCATCTGGCTAATGTTGTAGGCCTGGTCTCCATTTACTGTCACAACTGTCACCGTTACTCCATACCTTAAATCAAAAATTATTATTTAGATGTTGCAGGATATGTGACGTGTACCTGTCCCTAACCGTGCCCTGCACTCAGAACTTGATCCTTCCACAGTTGATAACTAAAGCCAGTATTACTACCAGAGTAAGCTTTTCTTTACAGTGATAGAGGAATACAAAACTCTCAAAAAAAAAAACCGCCCAACCACATGCTGACACCACAAATAATGTAGAAATTTTTGTATCGATGTGAGCCTGTGCGTAGATGATGATTTCAGCATTTAGAAAGTGTGTGAAAAGCAGGGCTTCCTCTTTCAGCAAGTCACCAGGTTCTGCCTCCGCTTCATTTGGGGTTTTCAGTAAAGCTCAAAGCGACACGGTCATTATCATCCACAACCACACAGGGGCTGGAATAGCTGTGCACTGAGATGACTTCTCTGTTCAGAAAAGTTAAAAACGTGAAAAGCTAGACCGCTTAAATGGCAAAAAAAGAAACTGAAGAGCCACTTCCGATGACTACAGCAATGGCGACAGAAACACTCACTCACAGGTCATCTTCAGTCACCTGACAGCAACAGCACAAAAAGCCGAGAGCAAAGGCTACAGACGTGATTTCACATCACTGCTCAGTGCTTTGGGAGTTACAGGAAATTTCCCAAGACGCACTGACACATACCCATGGAAATGGAATCTCACTGCAGCGTGACAGACAGTGCCTCAGGCAGGGGGAGACACAGACACACACACACACACACACACACACACACACACACACACACACACACACACACACACACAGAAAACCGCCGGAGGTTCCCATGCGCTCTGATATCTTTACACATTTTCATACATGTGCTTCTCTGACTCTCTTATCCAGATCAACCTGAATTTCACCCATTAACAAGGGCGGATCATTACTGAAGGTTAAACCAGGTTAAGTGCCTAACTATGAGCACAGCAGCAGCGCTCCGCTTGGGAATCGAACCCGTGACCTCTGGGTTGCAGCCCTGCTGTACCACCGAGCCACACTGCTGCCATCTGTACCTATCCAACGTTTACCCAGAAGACATGCTGCGACACAGAGACACAGGAAGCGAGGAGCTGCAATAGGCCTGTCGCAGGAAGGCGCCCCCGATGACTGCGGGCGCTGTCACGCCTGGCCCTGTCTGAGTCACGCATAAACAGTGGGCGTGCCCCGGGAACCGTCCGGTCTGGCGCGCTTCCTGGTGCTCCTGAGGAGAGCACCGCAGAGGGCCTCGCGTTTCCACAGACAGGGCCACGAGGATAATTTAATAACCAGGAGAGCGGAGCTCACAGAGAGCAGAATGCATCCGCGACATATGCTCACAGCCCATCCTCATCTCTGCGGTATGAGGCTCCTACACGAGTGCCCCTCCTACTCCCAGACAGGGCCCTCGACCACGACCGTAACCTTAAATCACCCCGACGCTCACAGAAACACACCGACAGCAGCGTTTTAATGCAAATCTACTGGCAGGGCATTTCATTCGCAGGCACAACCCCGAGTGTCAAATTCTCCTTCTAATAGAGAGCAGGGTCTGAAATTAACTTCTTGGTCCACCAGCCAGGGTGGCTGATAGCTGTAAACGTAGACCAGCCAGATGAACTTTTCACTAGCCAAAAGAATTTACAGCATTTAAAAAATACTAGAATTATACAGAGCTGTTGTGTAACACTTTATTTAATTGAAACTGAGCACTAAAGTTTGAATTTTTTCATTGGACAACTCGTCAAACAGTAAACAGAAAACCACAGATGAATGAACAAGTTAGGGTATTATTGTGGGTCACCTCTCCATGAGATTCTGGCATTACAACTGACATTTCCCTCATTCAATGAACAATGCATTTCATTTCTGTTAGTGCTCCACAATGACATGCCTTTGCTTTCATCCCATCTACAAAAAGGAAGTTAGAAGCTCATCCTGTCATTTGGGGCGCTGATCCCTGGGCACAGAGAAGACATAACTAGCTGTGCACAAGTCCCTATCATCAAGCACATACAGTACCTAGCGAGCTAAAGAGCTGCTGCATGATGTCAGAAGTACTGCTGGGGGTTTTACTGAACTGAGAGGCATGGACAAAAGTAACAATGTTATCAGGTTGGTCCACCATGCCCCACAGCATTTAAGAGAGCAGATTTGGAACAGAAGCTACAAAGAACAGAGTCAATCAGCACCTTGGTTGCTTAGGTCTGCTACACCTACCCATGCACACTCAACCAATGATGTGTTAGAATTAGCTTAGAATGGCCCACCATATTAACATTTTGGACATAATATAGACATAAATACAGAAATTAATGAACATTTGTTTATTTGTTCATTTCTTATATATTTATTGCCAACATATGTTCATTTATTTATTCTCAACATTTTTTAATATTTTTAATGTCAGCTTTAGTCCACCATAGCTACAAGACAGACAGTGCTGTACCTACACTAATAAAACAGAGTTTGCAAGATACTCAATGGAAGACTAGTTGTACTTCACTGTGTTGCCCGAAGATAAACATTTACTGTTGCTACAGTCACTGCACTTGCCCTATATGTTGCTAGCAGTAAATTCCTCCTTTTGTGTCAGCAGCTCCTAAAAAGCAACATGTTATAAACGGCAACCACTGTGACAGCTTGCTTTGCATGTGGTTGCACGTTCTGCGTGCATGCTGCAAAACTAGAAGTTAAGTAACTATTTTTGAGCAAAGGCGGAGAGATACACGATTTTACATACAGGTTCAATGATCTCTCAGTCAGACTGGTGTACACCCTCTGTCAGGATGAAATGGCAGGGGATGCCACCAGCTTTACGATGCATTCTGGTAAATGGAGTCACAGAGGGAAAAATGAGAGGACACATTCAGCTTCCACTAAAATTTTAGTTGGAAGCCTGTACTTTCTTTGAAGGGTCAAATGGAAAACACAAAAAACTATTGGTGTTGCAGGGAGTTATAAATCAGGTGTGCACATCTAATCATGCACTAGAGTGTACAGTGGCATATTTGTGGAAGGAAATGGAGGTTTCTTTCATGGTGAAACCAGTTCCTGGCTTTGCAATATGCAAACCCACTCAACTGAAATACACTAGAACAACAGTGAAATACACTGGAACAATACACTACATTTTCAATTTTCAGTTAAGCTGTACCTACAAATACTATAAATGGATAATGCATATGTTGTCTCATACCTCTTTGACTCTCTTTGTGAGAGGAATCAGGTGATTGGTCATTCCAATCATACATTCATTTGTGGTTGGAGGAAGGCCACACCAAGGCCTGCATTATGTGAAGCTAAATGGAGCCTTTCCAGGTGCAGGTGGCTGCCTAGTACTCAGTGTGGTCAGGCTACAGTCATGCAATGTTTGGCAAAAGTGGGCGTGTTTACGGAGTGAAAATAAAGGAGAGAGGAGACTGGCAGGATGCTAAGTAAACTGTGTGATCTCCCACAAACACAACTGATTCATAAAGCAAGTTTACACTGAACGTGTCCTGCCAGACAGAGGCATCATTTGCTGCTTGGGAAAAGGAATGAAAACTTCACTTTGTTGGATTTACAATGGGGTCTTTTTCTGTGTGCTTACCTGCTAGCTATAAGTCAATGAAATGGCACAAAACAGGTAAACAGAACAGCCCGTTACCTGTTAAACAATGCAGGAGGACACCAAAATGCACTGAGTTGGACCACATTTCCTTCTACCCACATACTAGTAACTGACAATGTGCAAAAGATACACACTTCAGAATTCCTCTCCGTCCATCATGTATATCAATATTCCTTTTGGAGCTAATGTCTGAATGCACTAACTGTTGGACTACTGTTCTCATACCGCATGAGATTTAAGAGTGTTCAGAGTGTTCTAGAAATTTTAGCCAAGCATGCAAGTGTGTGAATTCAAATGACAGCCACATCTTCCTGTTGCTGCTGTGATTGTTTTCTTCGAATAACCGGTCTTACAGACACTATCAGGCCAGGGAAAGCCCTGGAGGGCCAGAGTCCTCCGGGTTTTACTGGGATTTTTATTAAGTGACTGATTTACACATGAAATACCAAATGAGCCAACTTCCTGTCCAAGTGATGATTTCAACTGAGCAATTAAAAGTTTGGTAACAATGAAAACCAGCGATGGCTGCTGTCCTCTGCAATTGTAAAGGCCTACACCCATTTTCAGTGATCCAGGACAAGGCTAAGGCAATGGAGGCGGTGGCAGGGCACAGCTGGGGGGGGAAGTGCAGAGCCTCAAAACACCCATGTTTACTAGGGGCGCGTTTATTGGCCCTATACTGGAATTGGCCAATAAATGTGAGTCAAATTCAATCTCCCCAATGGAGCTTCCGATCAGTGGTAACTCGGCTTGTGTGGAAACAGGCTAATAAGATATAAGATTTCAGGCCCTTTCACAAAGTGTCTGAAGATGACAACAAAACTATGTTTGTAACAGATGCAAAGCACAGGTCCTTTGTGGAGGACATAAAACAAACAAATTTAACATAATTTTAGCACAATCTTTTGTGCTGGAAGTCGCTCTGGATAAGAGCGTCTGCTAAATGAATGTGATTTAAATGTAACACTGTGATTTCACAAGCCAAGAGAGTGGGTCATTACAAGGAAATATCAATATATTCACTCAAAAAAAATGACAGGAAGATGCACACCACTGAATGAGTTTAGCTGTGTTTATATACATATACAAATCCTGAAATAAAGTATCAGTATCAGTATTGGTCAATATGGTTGGAAAAAAATCGGCAATATCCATCTGCCATTAAAATTCAGATTGGTATACCCCTATCGTACCAGTTAATTTAGAATTACATTTTACACTTACATTACATTTTATTCCAAGTACATTTCAAAATTACACACAGCATCCTCCTTATGGTCAGGAAGGGTAACTGTCCATCACAGTGGCTGGGAGACTGCACAGTAGATCCTGCCTCATATTACCCAATTCCACAGAACCCAACACCCCGGCACTTTGAAAAGCGCTTCCGTCTGTCAGGTCAGATAAAAACCACAGTAGGAAATTACTATATTAATCCCTCCTCGTGTTTTGATCCTCTAACAATAATTCAGCTCCCATCAAAAACGTGTTTAAACAATACAGTTGGCTGCTGAATACGTCTTGTGGGTGTCCCTGCCGAGCTCTCTGGGAACACTTATGTCAACCGTTAACACAAGCCGAGACACGCTCAGCCCCTGCTTTCAGCAGCGCTGTACTGCCCCAGAGCAGTGTTCCAGAACAGAAAGCAGATAAATTGTACATGTCTCGGTTCAACTGAAGGGCCAATTTTTCCAATCAATGGACTGCTTTACATTTTAATACAGTTCCATAAACACTGTCTTGGACTATGAGACTTGGATTATGAATTTTTATTAAAGAAAGCAAACATTTTAGAGTAAAAAAACAACAAAGGTTTTACATATATGAAATAATCTAAAGACACAAATTAATCACCAGTATTAATTTGGAAATCTGGAATTATTGCTAATGTTTTACTTCATTCAGAGCATGAGTTCTTACTCAAACTGGCAGACAAGCACCGTTTCAGGCACTACAGACTGAATTTATCCATCTTTACCTTCAGACTGGTGGCGAGGTCATTTCCCCAAGCAGGGGCCTAGCGGAGCTGAAGTGCCTGTTCACAGCAGTGCTCAAACAAACAGGGCCAACATACGGCACTGACAAATGCTCTCGCTCTGACTAGGCCCAGTCTTGTGGCTTACTCTAAGTCCCAAAACGAGGTCAGATCTCCCCTTCTACCGTCAACAGCAACAGAAACAGGTCACAGTTGTTGCCACTCTGTGTCACCCCTGACATACATTTTTCTACAAAGACACCAGGCTTATTCTGCATGTCACGACAGGACAACAAGACACAGAATCAACAATCAAGTACAATTCAGCCGGTGAGGACTGCACTTCATGCATACCTTTGTTAGTGGCTGAAATGCAGATATAAGATTTGAGATTAGTGAAGACTTAAGACAGTCAGCTGGAAATCATATGCGCTAGAG